ACTGCCATAAAATTTTCCTCTGATCAATAAAGCATTTCAAACACTATTACCAAAATCTACCTGGAAAATGTGAGCCAAATAGAATTCAGTTACAATTAAGAAAGCAGCTCTTGAGAAGTTACTTAGCAGTCAATGTTACATGAATCACACAACTTGTAAAAATACTTCCTGTGGCACCAATGTCGTATCTTTTTATTCAATGATGTTCAAATTTTCACACAAAACAAAGCAAAAAAGTTGACTCTCAATAAGAAAATTTATATAGGTACCCTAATTTAGCTTATGGTTTAATTTTAACAAGGGAAATCTGATGGGTGTATTATCTGAAAGCTATCGAGTAGGAAAACGTTTATTCTCTGATTAGTGTAAGTATATCATGTGATTTTGAATGCTAGCAAACCAACCATAGGGGTCCATGATTAAAGATCACACTATCCAAATACCAAAGAGACAAAAGAAACAGCCAAGAGACAAATCTAATCCCTCAAAAATCTAGGCAATCCCAAATCCAAATTCACAGCACACTAAAAGCTTCATAAAGGCATTCCTCAAGAAATCAAAAGCCCTTGGAATTACTTTAACCTTAAGAAAATTAACTTGAAGTCAATTACTTCACATACTATGTAATTAGCACAAAGACATTTATTTGGGGTCCATTTGTTGAAAGCATCCTTCACACATTAGCCTCCAGGTACACACACATCAAAGGGAAAACACTCAGTGTATGTTACACCTGGAAAAATTACAAGGTGGAGACTAATGTTGCTAGTCAAGAAAACTTTCCATCTGTAGTAAAATTCAGAGCCCAGAGGGCTTCTTCATACTGCACTACCAAGTCCTGCAACATGAATCTCTCTGGAACCAGTTTTGATAGGAAAAAGGACTAAACCAGACTGACTCCAATAATAGTTTAATGATAGTTCCAAGATTCAGTGAAGACAGAACCTTGATAAGCAGATTCTAAAAGGATCACAGAGACTCAGCCTCTTACTTGTATCCAAACTTATATCCCCTTAAATCTCAGTCACTATTCTTTCATGCCTCTATAAGTGTAATATATGGAAATTGGAATAAAACAAATTTGTACATAGAGGGAAAAGGTTTAAAATAGGCAAGTCTTAAACAGCAAAGTCCACCTACAACCTGACACACAATAATCTACAGAATGATAATCTACCTATCCCTAACTCAGACCCCACCTGGCACTTCATCAACATGGAAAATATTCCTGGGACAACAGAGAGGCTGACTTAAAGAAGAGGCAAATGAAAGTTCTAAAGAGTGTTGTCTAAAGAATGCTTATGGAAACTCAGCATCAATCAAATCCGATCAAAACAAGCTGCAGGTACAGAAAGAACAATGTCTTTTTGGTGGTTTATTTCCTCCTCTCACATGAAAACCTAAGGAAAAGATGCGGACAAAAAAGGAAACAAGAAACTATATAGATGAGGTTTCAGAGATTTAACCCTTTGGTTAGTTTTGTGTTACAACTATCACTACCTCCCACTACAGTATCAGAGAAGTTCCAAATAATTTGGATATCAAAATATAGTGGGAAGGGGCTGGGGATGTGGCTCAAGCGGTAGCGTGCTCGCCTGGCATGCATGCGGCCCGGGTTCGATCCTTAGCACCACATACAAACAAAGATGTTGTGTCTGCCGATAACCAAAAAAATAAATATTAAAAAAATTCTCAAAAAAAAAAAAAAAAAATATAGTGGGAAGGGTGAGAAATCAATTCCAGGAAGATTTCTGATCATCACAACCTTCCAGAGAAGATTGTCCTATCCCCCTGCCCTTTAAAGGAGACAAAGTTCTCCACTCATTACTAGGGATGTGCTAAAAAGAAATGTCTTTTCTCTAGAAGGAAAAGACTTCCTAGGTTCCTAGCTTGGAACCTAGAGCTGAGGCAAGTCCATCTACCTGTCCTACAGGATCATCTGGGGTCTCCCTTACAGCACCTAATTTATACCTGGGCTTTACTGCAGAAAGTATAATAAAGGAAAGAAGCCACCAACTTCGTTTGTGTGTGTGTGTGGGGGGCGTGTTTATATATATATATATATATATATATAT